CCTGAGATGCCTCAATGCAAATGATCACCAATGAATTAACTAAAATCAGAACATCCCTTAACCTGTTGCAAGTATTTTTTGCAGCAGAGGTGTTTTTATCCCTGTGAATCACTAAGAGTGACAGCAACTAAACAGAACAGGAGATAGGAATAGACAGCTCTGCCCAACAGCCGATGGAAAACCAGAATTGTTGCCAAATCTAGCGTAACAGCTTAGCTCAGTCCTCTAGGTAGGTTTTCAGCAGCCTCCAGCATCACAGCATGCTTTAGGAAAAGAAAACTATATTCCTCACAAGCTGTCCCAGCTTCCTTTCTGTAGGGAGCACTGGTGAGACAGCCTCTGCTCCACACACTGCTTGGGAGCTTGAGCCAGGAAGCAGAGAGCAGCAGTGATGGATATATACGAAGGGAAAAGACACTCTTGGCCTTTTTTATTCCTCTGAGTCAGTGTGCTCCTTTCTTGCAGAGAAGCACAAGTGATGTCAGGGAAGCACGTTGCCTCTTGTCTTCTCCCAGCCTTGGCAGTGCTTTGCCTGTTTGGCACCTTGCAAGCAAGGGTGATGTTATCAAAGCTGCTAATTCTGTGACCCCAGCAACAGCAGAGGCAGCGGCTTCCTAACCCTGGACCCTCTGATCACAACACACTTAGAGCTGAGATTGACTAAAGCAGCTTTTCAACACCATGTAGCTCATTAAAAGAATACCAAGGCTTAAAAGAAAAATTGGCATTACGAGACTTCTACAAGGTCCTACCAAAACCCCAGGTGTTTTAAGGAGTAGACAGGCTCATGTCTGGGCAGCAAAATTTTGGCTAAAGACACTAAAATAGCCCCAGTTAAATCAGATGTCGTTAGGATGCCACTGCCAAGTCCTCGTAAGTAACAGAAAAGAATTTCACAACTTGGTGCAATGTAACCATGTAAGGGAAACTCTGTCCATCCTGTACAGTACAAGTACAGTTCATTCCCTTTCATGGCTCTAGAAGATCTGAACTATTCCTGTCCCAGGAAAACAAAGAACATTTTACATCACAATACTAGAAAATGCAACTCCAAATTGATTTTTAAAGGAACACATGTCCTCCCTTGTTAGGATTCTGCAGCAATTTTTATAAGACCTCACGTGCTATGCAGTCTGGCTGGTGAAGTCAGTGTGAGCTTCAGAAAGCCTTTAGCACAGCTCTAATCCATTTCCAATTGAAGGAGGGTTTAGGATACGGCACCATAACATTTTGTAAGCTTATTTTGACAAGAAATTAATGAAAAAGTCATTTGTCTCCATTTTTTAAAAAATCTGAGAAGCAAACGGCGACAGTCAGTATTACAAAGCAAAGAAAGTATTAAATTACAACATAATCCTTAAATAATTAATCCAGAAGTGTAAATTTGGTACAGCTTTATGCTAATGGCGTTTTATTGATTTAAAAGACATCTGAGAGTCCTCAAGTTCATCTTGAACTTTAAAGCTGTCAGTTCACTTTGCCTTATGGAGGAATTCCACTGAAATCCACATGGATGAACAAAGTCCCAGGGGATTAGAAGCAAGTCAACAATATTTAAACTCTTTGGTAAACTAGGCATTTATCAGCAGTAAACAGTTACTGGTTTTATTTAAAGTTCTCCCCTAATGCCAAGGCAGAAGCAGCTAATTTAAGATATGTCAGAAAGAAACATCAAGTCCAATTAAAACTTATCTCTTTTAACTGTGTACAAAGGAAAGTAATGATGATTGGACCTAAGCCAAGGCAAAATCTCTCCAGTTTGGAGACTGTATTTGTCTTTCCAGAAAGTGTTTTCAGAGATTTATCTGCTGGAAAAAATGAATTATTTCCAGGAGAATCACAACTAACAGACTTTTTTTTTTTTTTTTTTTTAAATGTGCCTTTCATGGTTGACTGAGATGTCAGAAGAAAATAGCTCAAAAATAGTGTGGTGGTTTTTTTTTTTCCCCCCCTGCTTGTGGTATTTAAAAGATCTCCCTCTCTCATGTGCTTTCTGTATTATTAAGTTCAACATGAATTCAACATGAAGCCTTTTTTTGGTCTTTTTAGCTGAGTTCCACCTTACTTGAAACATCCAAGAGTTTTATTATTTAAAAGTTCCATCAGCTTGGAGGACTAGTAAATTCAAGCATTATCAGTGGGAAGACAGAATATGCAACCAAAGATGTTTCTAGCTACACTAAAAGGGCCAACAGCCTGTCGATTTTGCTTTTCTCTGCTGAAATTGCTCCTGAAACAAAGGTTTAATTAAGTTCCTCATTATATTTATACAGAGGCTTACACTTGAAATCCTAATTCACTTTATGAGTTGAAAAAAAATCTGATTTAAATTAAAAATAAACACACCACACTACAAGTACATTTTAACATGGCCTGATTTGCTATGCTCAGATTCGATAGATATCCAAGACAGGATCTTCCAAAGAAATATGCTGCATTTTGACATGTCTGAGAGATAAGAAAAATATAGGTAAGGAGAAAGATACTACACTTGGGTAGTAGTACATCCTCCTCCTTAGTTCAGAGAGGATAGCATCCCTATTGCAGGCTCTCCTGAGAGAAGTCTGAGGCTTCAGTTTCCCACACCCATATGCACCCCCAGCAAACAAGTCAGAAATAAGCCACATGGCAACCAGCTCTAGAAGGAGACAGCTTACAGCATAAACAGGAAAGCAGCACCAAAACAGTTCCTATCACTTGAGAAAAACTTTTGAGAGGGGGCCTGTGCAGAGATTTGAGTAAGAACAGCTGCAAACATTGTCCTAGAGATAATCACAGAATGAACACGATATAATCTGGATATAAAATCTCTTAGTAATTCTTGAGAAGATGTAGATCAGAACACACGATCTGAAGGACAGCCTGTGCATAGTTGTATTATGAAATTGGTAAAACATAGCTGCCAATGGAAATTTTCACTACTAGTCATATCACACTAACCTATTTAAAAACTACCCAAACCACACACATTGCATTTAAGTGATAAGCACCAATCAACAAGTAACCCTGCTGTGTGGACAAAATCTACCAACAAAAGCAGCACTTGCTATAGATTTTTCCTGTATCCTTCCTGCAAAACAAACATTTGAGATACTCTACCACTAGAAAAGACATCGTGCTTGTGGAATTACAGCCAAAGTAAATCAGAAATCTCTTTTCCCAATAGAGGCGCCAATGATTTTAACCAGACATATTAAGACACAAAGATATAAAGCGTCTGCACGTCTCTGAACACCCCTCCCCTCTCTCACACCTGGAGCTCAGTGTCAGCACTTGATTCCAGCACTCACTGCAATTCTGTTCCTCAATTTCTGCAGGCAGCATAGGAAAATAAGGATAGTGGAGAGCTTTTGCAATTTCATACAGTGCTTAACGCTGTTAAGACATAACAAACTGCAGTACCACCAAAAGCACCATGGCCCAACAGAACGACACGGGAGATCCCAAAGGTTCATAGTACAGCTCCAGTACCTCGAGCACAGCGCTTCCCAAACACAATACCAACCCTGAATATGAAGAGCTGGTTAAAGGGGGAAAAAAAAGGCCATGAAACAACATATTACTGGTGTATTTTGGAACACACACAGCAGAAGTAGGTTCAAAGGTGTCAGAATACAGTGCTGCAAGGTCAGAGTGATTGTAGAATATATATATATATATATATTTTAACACCTCAGTGACAGCACATCTATGATCTCAGCCCTGCAGAAAAATCAACCTTATTTCTAATCCAGTATCTGAAGTTAATGCCTGATGATAACTCAGCAAAGCTTCAGTGTAGTCGGAGCCAACAAGTAATATTTTTCTTTCACCATAACTGCTTCAGAAGCTTTACGTTATCAGAAACCCAACCAGTTCATATGAAAACTAAACACCTGATGTACAACGGGTAAAATCTCAAAGCAACTCCTTAAACTACATTATAAAAACTCGTGTGCTAGGCCAGAAACGCAAAGGGATGGAAATTAACCAGAAACAGGGAACTGAGAGATAAAGAGAGGCAAAGTCAGCAGATGTAGCATCATTCAAACTGCTTGTATCCTCCCTCAGTCCTGCTAGTAAGATAGCTAAAAAAAATAACACTGCAGATAGTAGCCTAGTAGCCCTTTAAGGGCTAGAGAGACTTTCTAAGTAATTTATTAAAATATTGCCAAACATTGTTATTTCTCCTTAATTTCCCTGCTTTCCAGAATCATGGTTTTACAAGAGTAAAAAGGTGAAAGTTTGTCACTCTCACATAGCAATCAACCGGCCAGCATGCCAAGAAGTATTTCTTGTGACGTAGCATCATTCAAACTGCTTGTATCCTCCCTTGGTCCTGCTAGTAAGATAGCTAAAAAAAAATAACACAGCAGATAGAAAGTCTCTCTAGCCCTTAAAGGGCTATTAAGTAATTTATTAAAATATTGCCAAATATTAAGTTATTTCTCCTTAATTTCCCTGCTTTCCAGCATCATGGTTTTACAAGAGTAAAAAGGTGAAAGTTTGTCACTCTCACATAGCAATCAACCGGCCAGCATGCCAAGAAGTATTTCTTGTGACAGTTCTCAATGAATTCCAGTTTTAATAACTTGCTTGAGGAATGTGTCAAGAGTAGAAAAAATATTGTGAGCCTCTATCAGCAGAAAAAACACCAAACTTTGCTATCATAACCAAAAGAATTCCCTTGGTTTTTCCAGTGAAACAGGAGTAAGTTGAATTAGATTGCGACATTGCAAAATATTCCATTACAGATCAAAAAAAAGGAGCTGATTGCAAAACTTATTAAATCTGGAAAAGAAAGATGATAGAGAACCAAAGAGTGGAGTGGAAATTCTTGATTTTCAACTCTGGCACTGCTTTCCAAGTTGATTTGTTTTAAGAATTCATTATCAGATCTGTGTATTTTTTGAAGACACACATTTCTTAAGTCTTTTACAACCAGTTATAATAAATCCACCGATGTTTATGACTTGAACAAAAGACACAACACAATATAGGTTTCAACTGTTTATTTTACATCAGATGTTCCATACTGGAGTTTCTTCAGTTAGAAGTTCCTAAAAGAAAATGAAACAAACTGTTAGAAACTAGTTCAGCTAGAAATAGTTCAGTTAGAAACAGCTCAAGTAAGTATTTGTAACCAACTGTGTAATTATCCTATAAATACATTTTAATCCTAAAAGCTGGATGTGGTTATGGAAGTGCCCCCTGCAAGTGTTAGAGGGTAAGATAAACATACGTACTTGGAAACAATTCCATCATTTTTTGCCAGACGCAGAATGGAGTCATCCGATTCACCCTTTAAATTAAAATAAAAATAAATAAATAAAGTTATTCTGAAGTGACCAAATAATTGCTGATAAACATTACAAAGAGAGGCAGCTGCAGCATTTAACGCTGGCAGTGAAATGCACAACACCTTCCACAGATCATTTTATATGCACAGATGAACATTTTCAAAACAAGCTGTTATTTATAATCCTTTAGAATAAGAAATAGTTTTAACTTGATAAAATATACAGTTGCATTAACAAGATATATTTCTGGGTAGGAAGCTTCACACCATGTTTAACAAATTTAAAGTTATGGTAGTATGATCTCTTAATAATTATAAACAACAGATAAAAGCCAGATATTGGTAGCTTGGTACATTCTTAAAAGAAAAAAAAATCCACTTGCATTCTTCAGTGATTAAAAAAAAGTAATACATAATTCTACAAACCAAAGGACTGAGGAAAATAACAGAAGAAACTGATTCTTGCAAGTGAATTTGTTCACATACCCACTCTGTTTTCATTATCCCCACAAAAGCTCTTCCTCTAGAATGAGCTGAAGGCAAATTGTGTTTTCAGGGCCAAACATAAATCTAAAAAATTTACTAATCAACATAAAAAGAAGCAAAATCATTTTGTAGCTCAAGAAAATACTTACCATTCTACGAATTGCTCCACAAATGGCATACGTTTTGAACTGGCCATTTACTCTGCCGGTCACCTTGTCCACCTATAATTACAAGCAGGTTACTCCATATGGATTCTGATAAAATTTTATACTCTTACATCAAACTTTCCAAGTACCAAAGATAAAGATTACTGGTTAAATTCTGCAAATATTTTTTCTGCAAACTACAAAAACCCAAGGCAAATACTGAAGTTAGAAAGACAACTATAGAGGATCTTTTCACAGCAAATTTATTGTTTATTACACAGTGCAGCTATAAAATTCAGACAGCAGAACAAGAATAGGCTTTGAGCAACCTGGTCTAGTGTAAGGTGTCCCTGCTGATGGCAGGGGGATTGGAACTATATGATCTTTAAGGTCCCTTCCAACCCAAACCATTCTATGATACTATGATTCTATACGTACAGGAAACTGTAAACAAAGCATTTCAAAAAACTGTTTCTTAAGTCAGACAGATAACACAAAAGACTGAGTTGTTTAAAAATATGGGAATGTAGTCTTGTGGTCTCCCATTCAAGAAATCAATCAAGCTATATAGCTCAAACTATAGGAATATCATGTCCACAGAATTCCTGTAAGGTGAATATTAATAAACAAACAGGGGAAAAAATGCTAAAAGGATTTTAAATTAACTGGAGCCCACATGCATCAACTGGGATCCTGCAGGAGCCAAGGTCTCCTGTGGTTTTCCCAGCATATATGCCAAGCTTGGAGGGATTTGCAATAATGCTACCTTGAGAAGATGAAATTAAACTTAAACAACAAATTCCTTATGTTACAGAAAGAAAACTAAATGTGCAATACTAAGTCAATACAAATAACCAGCATGTCTCAGGAAAAAAATTAAGCATATAATACCCCAAGCATTGAGTTAACGAAACTATAATGCTGCACTCAAACCTCATTTGTCACCAATTAAGAGCAGCAGTGTCAAGTATTAACAGAAATTATTCAAGCAAAACGTGGAAGATGGTATTTTAGTTAAGAAAAATAGAACAGAAATAGAGTTCTGCTCTGGAAACTGCATCTTTAAGTTTGAATGAGTAAAGTAGAAAAAGCAGAGAAAATCAACAAGAACAAAAAATGAAAAAGCAGGGTACACAAGGACTGAAGAATGGTACTTTCTCACAGACAGGTAAAGGCAGAAGGGATAAGAATCTCCCAGAAACAAGCATTTCTTCTCCCCCTTTCCTTCAGGACAAGGAATTCCCTAGTTTATAACTCTAAATGTCTAGAGTTAGAAAGTTGTATTTAGGCAAACAGTTAAGCACTAGAGCAGACTGTGCAGAGATTTATGAAGTTTCTTCCACTGAGTATTTTCCAACAGGCTGAAAAATAACCAGGGGTGACACAGTAATATTCTTGTATGTTTGGAAGCCTCATGCTCTACACTTATATAGTCTCTAGTGAATTACTTGAAATTTATCACAAGCTGTTGTATTTATCAACTTCTATCAACAGTTTAAAAGTGTAGCTCTCTCATCACACACTTCTGTTATGAAACTTACCTCAGAAATATTTATCTGAATAGAAGCATGATCCTTAGCACCAATTATTCGGTTGCTAGCAGAGCTAAGGAATAAAACAAGATATATTTTTTAAAAAAGGAAACAAGACAGTGACAATGAAAAAGAACTATTAAAGCCAAATCTACATGCAAATGAAAGCTGCACAAGAAATTTAGACAATAACAGTTTATGTTTTCAGTGCTCAGAATATTTAAATGCCATTTTAAGTACATTTGAAGGAGACATTCACTTGGTGGCATCATGCTAAGTGGCCAACTATCCCTTCACTTTGATTTTTGCAGTGCACACAGCAGCACAGGCCTTCAAAACCCACAGAACTTCAAGTTTTTCCTTTCTAAAGTGCAGAAAAACTACAGCAATCAAGGTAATTTATGAGAATGCAGTTTCTATGCCTTTTTTATGTGGCCAGAGCCACCACAGCTGGTTGCAAACTCTCAGAAATCACAGGTTGTAAGAAAGTCTGACAAATATAACAAAATGCATATAGATGCTTTATTTTTTAGCGATTTTTTTAACAGACACATTTACAAAAAACTCCCCTCTGTTTATTTACTCCGATCTTGAAATTCTACTTAAGACGTGCTCTCAAGGCAACAAACAATCAGTGACCCAGGTTCACTGTGAGAGCTCGTAGCCCAGAAACACCAGCACGCTACAAACAGGCCCATTTACTTCTGAAATGAACCACACACGAGCGGTCACTGACTCTGTAGAGCTGCCAGTTACACAGCAGAAGATGCACAGTATTCTCTTCAACTTCAGTTTTTGCTTCATATATTTTACTTAAAAATATTTAAAATAACGGAAACAGGTAGAAAACTTTTTTTTT